CCCCCCAGCCGCGCCTGGCAGGCCCGCGCCCCAGGATTCGAGGCCTCTCATCTGGTCCCCTTGCTGTTTGACCTCTGCGGTTCCCTTCCCCCTCCAAGGTCAAGCCCTTAACATGGGGCTTGAGATGAAGAACATTCTCCCCCAACCTCCAGAACGACCAGCGTTGCACAAAGTGGGGACCGGTCTTCGTTTGTAAAGGGAGGAACCTGCATCTCAGGCCCAAACCATTCAAACCTCCATTAGCCTCCAAGTTTGGGCCAAATATGTTGTGTTTTTTTGCCCACAGTGGCTGTATTAGCTGCGATCTGCGTACGTCTAACTCTGCTCAGCCACATGGCTCCTGTGGCACTGACGTCACAGCCTATCATTTGCTATCGATAAGCCCACAATCGATTGGGAAACGGGGTTACGCTGGAGCGCTGCGGCGAGTCAGCCTCTATTTCCTAACTTCTTTCGCAAAAATCTCTTTTGAGGAGGGGCTCGCGGCAAAAGCGCATCGGGCCATGTCACACAACAGGGCCCTCCCTGGGCTTCCGTGGCAGGGACCTGGGTGTCCCTCGTCTCCCCAGAAGGTAATGTTCACCCCCACCCCCCCCGTTCATGTCGTCGAAGTTTCTGGGCCGGTAACAACGGGGTTTCCTACCTGCTTTTCTGTGCGCTCAGACGCAAGGGTCAAAAGGGGAGCGGGCGTGAGGCCGAAATTTCTCTAATTCACAGTCGGCCGCGTGCGGGCCAGAGCCAAACAGCTCTGGGCTACGTTGTAAACAGAACAGTGTTGCCTCTTTATCTGGGTAATTGGTCCCAAATGCTGTGGCCACTTCTCAGATCGGATGCTTTGCATACTTTGCAAAAGCCTGGAACGTTTCTCCTTTGGCGAGGAAAAGTCTGGGGCATAACGCAGTCTTTTCATCAGCACTGAGGCTCCTATAAACAGCCAGGTGATTTCATTTGGGGGCCTGTAAACACAGGAGACCGGAGGGGGGGGGGGCCCTGGGAGAGCTGCGTTTCGTTTTGGGCGTGTTTGTCCGTCTGCCGTTTGCTC